AAAGAAGTGGAATGTTATGGAATGGCCAAGTCAATCACCTGACCTGAATCCGATTGAGCATGCATTTCACTTGCTGAAGACAAAACTGAAGGGAAAATGCCCCAAGAACAAGCAGGAACTGAAGACAGTTGCAGTAGAGGCCTGGCAGAGCATCACCAGGGATGAAACCCAGCGTCTGGTGATGTCTATGCGTTCCAGACTTCAGGCTGTAATTGACTGCAAAGGATTTGCAACCAAGTATTAAAAAGTGAAAGTTTGATTTATGATTATTATTCTGTCCCATTACTTTTGGTCCCTTAACAAGTGGGAGGCACATATGCAAACTGTTGTAATTCCTACACCGTTCACCTAATTTGGATGTAAATACCCTCAAATTAAAGCTGACAGTCTGCAGTTAAAGCACATCTTGTTCGTTTCATTTCAAATCCATTGTGGTGATGTATAGAGCCAAAAATCTTAGAATTGTGTCGATGTCCCAATATTTATGGACCTGACTGTATATATATATATATATATATATATATATATATATATATTACATTTTGTAAACCTTTTTTTCTTTAACTTTTTTTACTATTTTTGTACATACTTTCCCCATAGTGACACTGTACTACTCTGGAGGGTGATCAGGGATTTGTTTTTACACTGCTATTGCTTATGACAGTGATGATCACTGTTATAAGCAATAGTTTTAACTGTCATGAGTGGATTATCATTCATGACAGCTTTACTGCTGACATGCTGAATTACAGTTAATCACATGTACAGGTACCATGTGATAGCTGTGCATCAATCACAGCCTCACAACAGTAAGCAAACGTTTCATGAATAAAAGCCATTCATGACAATTTGCTTACATAATATCATGTGATCGCTATGATTGATCATAGTGATCAAATGATACCCCAGCTGCTCACAGCAGTCAGATAATGAGCACCGGAACAAGTGATCGGGTGGACACAGTGGTCACAGGATTGCGCTGCTGCACAACCCAGGGAATGCACTAGTGCACATGTGCAAGGCGATGTACAGGTATGTCACTTAACCTGGCTGTGCCGCCCACCAGCAGTAGATGTACTGTGGGCAGACAGCAATCGTTTAATGTAGTGGGTTAATGTGGAAACAACCCCATTGATTTAAAGTGTTACTAAACCCTTGTATCCTTTACAGCCAAGGAAATTTCCATCTTAGCATCTATTTGATCGGCAGTTGACATGTTGCTGCACATGTGATCGGCTCTGACATCAGCCATTTGATAACTTCAGTTGAGAGTACAAACAACTACAAGAGATATCATTCATGGCATGCCTTGAAGGTAACTGCTTTGGGAAATAGTTGATGGGTTTTGTTCCACTTTACCAAAACAGTTGAATACCTTGAATGATAACTGTTACAGTTACTAGTGTGCTTATCTTAGCTCACCCGAGCTGTAAAACCATTAAATAGTTGGTCTCATAATTGATCACATCATGCTAGCATTATGACAAGTGCAGATCAAACAGTGACTTAGATGGCAGCTTTCTTGGATTTAAAGGATATGGGGGTTTAACTCATTTTAAGAGACTTGATTTAAACACCTTGTCTTGAGCTGGGACAGCTAGGATATGAGGAGTTTTTCCATGTATGCAACATGGTGATGGTCTGGTGATGTGGTGTGAAAATTCTGATACATTGCTGCCAAGGAATATAACTTCATGAAAGTCATGTATTTATTAAGTGTTCTTGCATGGCAAGACCACTTACTGTTATCTCACATATATATTCTTATTATTATAGCCAAATTTACCACCCTAACTCCTCCCACAGTTTTTACACTACATAGACAGTAATATACCAAAACGTGCGGATTGTTCCCGATTGGTGTGCTATTACTTTGTGGAACGTTTCGAAGAATGGTTCACGAAATATCGCCGTTTTTGTGGTGAAATTGGTCCCATAGTAATGAATGGCGGAATGTTCAAAATTATAGTGGGTGCTGACAAAAGCTAGAGTGTGAGCTGAAAAATCAGAACATGATTTCTAAACTGCCATCACTCCCTCATTTTCAAGCCCGCCTACACAAATCTTATATCAACACGTTCAGCTATCCCTGCTGCCACTAAAAATGTCCACGGCTAAGCCATAGTCCTGATAGTTTTTACAATATGATCATTTGTTTGCAACTCACGCCGCCCATTGACATTCATTGAAACTCGACTCTAGCCACCTGAAATTTGAAGGCCAATTTCAAAACTGCGACTGTGCCTTCATTTTTAATATTTCAGAGACATACTATGCATCAAAATGTAGGTCTGGGTCTTGTGATTCTCACAGTATAAAGCTTTATAATTTTAAAACTACAACCGTTTGAAGATGGCAACCGCCAGTGAAGTGAGCAAGTTGGAGCATTTTTTTTTTTAACCACTCCTCTGCCCTTGCTGTAGAGTGAGTTGCCATAGGAACCCAGGTGTGTGAGCAGGCAGCAGTGTGACAAAAGCTACTCCGCCCACTCCAGCTGGTGGAGGCAAGAACACTTCACACAATTTCCCCAGAAATTGTAGCTTTTCTAGTTACAATTGATGTTGCAGCTGCAAAATGTTATGTCCCATTTTGAATCTAAACCCGCAACAGTAAAATCAGTCTGTATATGCAGTAAAGCATGCTTGTTATACTCACTGTGGAACCTAAGGGGTTAATCCTCTGCATTGTTTAAAAATGCTGTTTGATCTTGTCTTTTCTGATCCTCCCCTTCTTCCAGTGCCCCCCTCTTATCTCCTGATAAGACATATCGTGTGGAGACACTCTGCACATGCTTAGTTTGGTGTGTATTGCTAGAGATATTTTTTATTTTCTTGAGAGAGTGCATGTGATCAGCACAGGGCCAATCAGCGCTGTCCAGACAGAGGTCAGGGGTTTTGCATCTCCCTAGAGCAGAAAGAAAACTCCTCTTACAAGCTTTAACCAGTGCTCTGCCAGACACTGATAGAAGTGACAAGACTGCTCTAGCTGCAGTATTGCTGAGAAAAGGTATTTAGCAGTTTATATTTACTAACAATTTGCATTTCCATGTAGTGTGTGCTGTGGGAGAACATATATAGTGAATGCAGGGTCCTGGTTTAGTAACACTTCAAGCTAATGTATCGCTCTACCTCTTGGCACTGGCTATGGAAAGCACTAAACGTAGTTCTGCCAACAACCAACGTGAATGTATACGACGCAGCCAAATAAATGTGATCTGTTCTAAAGGCCATACGTGTTTGCACTTACATTCTAGTAAGGTGTTTTGCCATCCTGTAAGGGCTACACAAATATATTTATTGTTATAAAAATGCTGAACGTAGTGGAAAATTCTGAACACCTGTAACCTATACTAATAGGACTGGAAAGCTAACTGTGATCAGTAGAGATGGTCTGCTGATCAAAGGATCTCTTTTTATGTTTGCCAAATTTATCCAAGCGTTGCACACAAACAAGAACTTCAGAACATCTGGTTTGCATACCATTAACATTTCATGTGGTCTGATAATGGAGAACATGATCTGATAACATTTAAGAAAGTACATTTTCTATGAAGTAGGAATTATTTTTAACTACATTCTGTGTTTTATCTCTTGATAGTTTTCTCTTTAACATTGGTCAATTTACAAATATAAATATTGCTTACATAATTTTTTCAAATGAAAGCATTTTTTGAACATTATAGCTCTCAGGATGAGTCGATTTAATCACCTATCACCCTCCTCTCTATAGACACCTCACTGGAACAGGTATCACTAGCCCTAAAGTATATCTAAAGCCAAAATATTTTTTGCATTTTTTTTAAATAGAAAGGAAAGGCTAGAACCTCTGTCAAGTTTTAATTGCTGTCTATTTTCCTGCTAGGGAGATTCTACCTCTTTACTTATCCTGGTGACCATTGTTACCGGAATTAAAAGTAAGGAAAAATCCAAACCTTTCCATTGTAAATGGAACCAAAATAAAAGGGAAATCTTCCAACAGGGACACTTGCTTTGGTGACAGTTGGCTAAGAGAGGTTATATAAATTGATATCCACCAGTGTCACTCTTCCCTTAACATAAAACCATCAAATGTGCACTTTGCAAGTGCAGTTGTACTCATTCCCCCTTAGTGAATGTGGTAAAGCTCTGCTGATTTCCATTATCCAAGCATATGCAAGCAAAAATGCTGGTGTTATTTTCCTTGCACCTGATTGGGTATTCTTTACAAAGTGAAGCTTTATCACATTCAAATTTACTAAGGAAAATGAGTGCAACTGTATTGCAGAGTGCAACTACACTTGCAAAGTGCATGGCCTATTTGCCTTTAGTAAAACCTCCTCACTATGATTTTTATTTTACCTATCTGATGTACATCTGTCAAGATCTGCACATTTTCATCTAAAGCTTAATGATCTGCAAGATGTTATTTGGATCAAGTGACTGTCTGCCTACACTGGTGAGACTTCAAGTTTAAGCTATCTCGCCACAACTGGATCAATTAAAGAAATCACACTTGTATTGCTTAGATTAAGGAAGCGGAATAGTTAATACATAAATATAAAATAATTGGTTCCTCAGAAGGAAATGTAAGAACATTTTAAAGATAAATAAGTATAAAGAAGTCATACCCCTAGAATGTCCTGGGTAGAAGTCACCAGGCTCTTCTAGGAGAATCTTGCATGATGACTTCATGTTAAACCCCCTAAATTGGCAGGACAAATTTGAGGGAGGAAAGCTAATGTCATCAAACTCCAGCATATTCAGGGGAAACATAGCTAGCTTCTGCCCAGGAGGTGCTGTAGATAGGATTTTGTTTTTCTTTACCCGCCTCCTGCCCCCCATATAAGGAAATGATGGGCACAAGGTGGTTCTCTCGTTCTGGGAGGACGTTATATGACGTCCTCCCACTCTGACCGCGCGTTCGCGGCTCTGGGGGCACAGAGCGCAGAGATCAGTGGTGTGCTGTGTCCCTCGGACAAAGCGGATCACTGATCAACGGAAAGAGCTGAAGATGTTGACTTGGTCATGTGATCAGCTGTGTCCAATCACAGCTGATCGCATGTAAATAAGGGAATGCCGGTTATCGGCATTTCTCTCCTCACACTGACAGCTCGAGAGGAGGGGAGAGCCTGTAATCTGCATTACTCAGAGGAGACATGTATACTGATCATCACTGATGATCAGTGTGCCCTGATGATCAGTGTAGCCCCAGCAGTGCCACCTGTCAGTGTCCATCAATGCCAGCTGTCAGTGCTCATCAATGCCACCTGCCAGTGCCCATCAGTGCCACATCAATGCCATATATCAGTGCCTACAAGTGCACATCAATGCCACATATCAGTGCCCATCTGAGCTACCTATCAGAGCCAGTCAGTGCCACCTGTCAGTGCCACCTATCAATGCCAGTCAGTGCCACCTATCAGTGCCAGTCAGTGCTGCCTATCAGTGCGCATCAGTGCCGCCTATCAGTGCCCTTCAGTGCTGCCTATCAGTGCCACCTATCAGTGCCATATATGAGTGATGAGTGCTGCCTTACAGTGCCCATCAATGATGCCTGTCAATGCCCATCCGTGCCACCTATCAGTGCCCATCAGTGCAGCCTATCAGTGCCCATCACTGCAGCCTCATTAGCACACATCAGTGAAGGAGAAAAATCACTTATTTACAACATTTTATAACAAAAACTAAGAAAAAAATTTTTTTTTTTCAAAATTTTCAGTTGTTTTTGGTTTGTTTAGCAAAAAATAAAAAACCCAGAGGTGATTAAATACTACGAAAAGATAGTTCTATCTGTCTCAAAAAAAATGCTAAAAATTCCATATGGGTACAGTGTTGCATGACTGCGCAATTGTCATTCAAAGTGTGACAGCTCTGAAAGCTGGATATTGGCCTGGGCAGGAAGGGGGTATAAGTGCCCTGTAGCAAGTGGTTAAAATGCAAGACTGCATAATGTATTTTTAGGGACTACTTATTGAACTGTGCATTGTTTATGTTTTGTTTTAGATACACGTGACTAAACCATGGGAGATTTTTTTTCTTTCTTCCTGTCCTGTGATGCCTATAAACAAATAATGGGTGCAGATGTCAATGGCACCGCAAGGCACGGACAGCAAATAAAAACACATTTTTTGAAGTTTCAACACTGTGACTACATTACTAGTTTTTTCCCTGTGCCCCATTGGGGACATTTTCCTTCAACTCCCATCCTGACAAGGTGTGAGAGGAAATTTCCCCAGTGTTGACACAGACAGTAATAAATATCTCATAAATATTCCAAATGTTCCCAGCTCTATCCAAAGCAAAATAAAGTTTTGGTTGCACTGGGACTTCAAGTTCTGGAGCCTAGACAATAATCTCATGCTCTGGACATATACAAAAGTTAGGATTACTGTACTTTGGAAACTGGGAGTTCTTTTCAAGTTTAGAAGGGAGAAAACAAACAACTCCTCCTTTTAATTAGGTATTATTAAGGAGAGTTGTGTTTTGTTTAACATCTACTGTGTTTATAGGTTGTGTGCTTCATGTACAAATTGCGGAAAATAATGTATTTTTCAGGTTTTTTTCAACTATTTTATTGTAGCAACCACAAGAAAAAGATTTCTTCTTGGTTTATTTAGCAGCTGTACTTCCTAGAGACTCTGATTCAGACTAATCTCGTGGGATTACATGTTATATTGTGCATTTCTTCAAGTCAGTGCCAACTGAGGATACACTTGTTATACGTGTGGAACATTCTTTGTGATGCTTTTCTTTCAAAAATATGAAAATAGCGGAACACAGCATAGCGAACAGGATTGAATATTAAAAGTACAGCATGCTGTCGGCTCTAGCACTGAGAAATCTTGGCTGAAATTTATCAGCAGCTGATAAGGTATCCAACACTCTATTTGTCTTATGTACAGTTGCAAGAAAAAGTATGTGAACCCCTTGGGATTACGTGGAGTTTTGCATGAATTGGGCATAAAATGTGCTCTGAACGTCATCTAAGTCACAACAATAGAAGAACACAGTCTGCTGAACATAATACTACACAAACATTAGATGTTCCCATGGTTTAATTGCACATAACATGTAAACATTCACAGTGCAGGGAGGAAAAAAAGTATGTGAGTCCCTAGCTTAATGACTTCTCCCAGAGCTAATTGGAGCCAGGAGTGAGCCAACCTTGACTCCAATCAGTGTGATGATATTGGATGTGTTGCTGACAGCTGTCCTGCCCTTAAAAAAACACACACCTGTTTTGGGTTTACTGGTTTCAAGAAGCACTCTCTGATGTGAACCATGCCTCGCAGAAAAGAGCTCTCAGAAGACCTATGATCAAGAATTGTTGACTTGCATGAAGCTGGAAAGGGTTACAAAAGTATCTCCAAAAGCCTTGATGTTCATGTGTCCACGGTAAGACAGACTGTCTACAAATGGAGAAAGTTTAGCACTGTTGCTACTCTCCCTAGGCATGGTCGTCCTGTAAAAATGACTGCAAGAGCACAGCGCAGAATGCTGCATGAGGTAAAGAAGAATCCCAGAGTGTCAGCTAAAGACCTACAGAAATCTCTGGCACATGCTAACATTTTTGTTGACACATCTACAATAAGGAAAACATTAAACAAGAATGGAGTACATGGGAGGACACCACGGAGGAAGCCATTGCTGTCCAAAAAGAATATTGCAGCACGTTTGAAGTTTGCAAAAGAGCACCTGGATGTTCCACAGCACTACTGGCAAAATATACTGTGGACAGATGAAACCAAGATTGAGTTGTTTGGGAAGAACACACAACACTATGTGAGGAGAAAAAAAGGCACAGCACACCAACATCAAAACCTCATCCCCACTGTAAAACATGGCGGAGGGAGCATCATGGTTTGGGGCTGCTTTGCTGCCTCAGGGCCTGGACGGATTGTTGTCATTGATGGGAAAATGAATTCCAGAGTTTATCAAGACATTTTGCAGGAAAACGTACGACCATCTGTCCGCCAACTGAAGCTCCGCAGAGGATGGGTGATGCAACAGGACAATGACCCAAAGCATACAAGTAATTCTTCAAAACAATGGCTGCCACAGCACAGAATACGCCTTCTGGAGTGGCCCAGTCAGAGTCCTGACCTCAACCCGATTGAAATGCTGTGGCATGACCTTAAGAGAGCGATTCACACCAGACATCCCAAGAATATTTCTACACTGAAACAATTTTGGGAAGAGGAGTGGTCCAAAATTACTCCAGATCGTTGTGCAGGTCTGATCTGCAACTACAGGAAACGTTTGGTTGAGGTTATTCCTGCCAAAGGAGGGTCAATCAGTTATTAAATCAAAGGTTCACATACTTTTTCCTCCCTGCACTGTGAATGTTTACATGTTATGTGCAATTAAACCATGGCAACATCTAATGTTTGTGTAGTATTATGTTCAGCAGACTGTGTTCTTCTATTGTTGTGACTTAGATGACGTTCAGAGCACATTTTATGCCCAATTCATGCAAAACTCCACGTAATCCCAAGGGGTTCACATACTTTTTCTTGCAACTGTATTTGTCTTATGTATGTGTGCTTAAAGCAGAAATCCGGGAAAAATGTTTTTTGTACCATGCAGTGGGGCTGTGCCCACACTGCATGAGCCATCTGCTTGTTTTTGTCTAGGGCTCAAAAAAATGAAGATATACTTACTGAATCCACTAATCCTCAGAGCACAAGACCGGTCCCTGCCACTTCTTCCCCTCTGCACGCTAGCGGTCTTGTGAATGGGGTATTCCTGATGGCATCACACCCATAAACCAGATGAGGGGAACATGGTTTCCGGAGGATCGGAGGACGGTATAAGTATAGCTTTTCCACTAAACTGGACAAAATTAGCAGTTTTCCCATGTGGGGACACCCCCACTACATGAGAAAATAGAAATTTTACATGGAATCAATAGTGCAAAATGAAGCAGGATTATGGTTTTCATTGTATTGCTTACCCTAACTGAATCTAGGGCCAATGTTGTCTATATTGGCCCCTATATATATGGCTCTTCACTAGGGCCCCTTCTTAGCATTTTAGCAATTTCCAGATCCATTGTGACTCCTCACTTCCTACCAATACTCATATCCTCTTAGCTGGTCAGTCAGAGGACATTATGTGGTGGCTAGAGATGGGAAGGCATTGAAAAAAATGGAAAAATTGAGAGACAGAAAAAAAGTTTTCATTTTTTTTTTCCAAAAATTGAAAAAAAAAGGAGTGTGGAACATGTTCTTCTACAATGATAAATAATATATCCATGATATGGTTTTCAAACTATATAACATGAAAACCTTAATGAAAGGTTTCTGAGACGTTATGTGAAGTCCTAACAAGTTCTCTCAACTAAAGTCAAGCAAATCCTGGAATACAAAGTAACATACTTCTCAATGCAGCTCGCAAATAAGAGAAGTGTGCATTTCTGACGCTAGGTGGCACTGCAGGGGAAAGGATCCAGTTTAGTAAGCTTCTGGGCTCCAACTTGTAGCTCTCACAGTTGGGTGATTGTTGGTATACAGTACATGATCATTTATGTCTTAATTGACAGGTAAGAGGGTAAACTTGTCTGGCAAATTTGTTTATCTTTATAACCTTTAACCACTTGCCTACCGGGCACTTATACACCCTTCCTTACCAGGCCAATTTTCAACTTTCAGTGCTGTCACACTTTGAATGACAATTACGCGGTCATGCAACATTGTACTCATATGAAAATTGTATATTTTTTTTTCTCACAAATAGAGCTTTCTTTTGGTGGCATTTACTCACTGCTGGGTGAAGCTGACGCATTTTAAAGAGAGATCCCTTCTTCATCAGAGCTCTTCATCAGCGTCAACTTCATCATGAGAATCTCCCTTCCTGATGGGATTTGCACGTGTCTCCTAGCCCAGGGACTCGGTTTTGGGATTTGATATGCCTGTTTTATTGCTACTCTTGTGAGTATAATTCCTATATCAATAAATCTACTAATTGCTTATTGAAGTAATGTGCAAGGTTGGTGCGCTCTGTTCTTTGTTCTTTACTACAGTTTATATCAAGCTTCCCCAGCTTCGCATTAGAGCTGCACAACCTTTGACCGGTCCTGGAGGAACTTCTTCTACGCATCATACTTTACATTGGTCCATCGGTCCTCTTCTGATCTGGGTCCCCAAGAGCAGGAGGTGTTGTATCTATGTCTACTGGTCAACCTTATGTGGATGACCTACTACTAAGGAGAAACCTATGGAGCCACAACACAAACATAAAGAATCCACAAATGCAGCCTATAGCACCTAAGTGAGAAAAACAAGATGAAAACTGGAGGCTCTTCATGCATTACTTAAAATAAGGGAGAGTTTATTACTGTAATATCTTACACTAGTAAATGTAAGGTATAGGGGTGTACGCCATACTACTTGTATATGGAAGTGCATGAAAGACAAATAAAAAATATACATTTAAATTATGGTATCAATATGGAATGAATAAGGCAAAAAAAACAACCTGAAACAGATAACATCATGAATAAAGTAAGTTGACATTTGTGATGGTTCTACGTATGCTGCACATTTCTGGC